CTGAATGAGTAACTAATTAGATTTTAACATGAGTCTTAAGAATGGATTCTGGGTCACATTGGTCACAGATGTAGGAGGAATAAGCAGCTCACCAAGTGCTGTGTAGTTATGATCGAAATTGTATGTATTTTGTAGGAATGAATGATTACCTCTGAATAACTCTATGAACAAACATCATTTTAAAATCAGAGCAATATCAAATGTTGACTGAGATTCATGCAGTTTGTCATCTTGATCTAGATGGCTATGTGTTTTTTGCACCACTCGCTCAGTTTGGGTTAGTTAGGTGTTTGTTTGTTTTTTAAAAAAAGGGGAAGGTTAGCTAAATCATAGAGATAAGAAAGCTATTGTGCACAGGCAGACAGTGGACTAAGACAATGTACTTAGATTCACATAATTAATGAAATGATGATATAACTATAACTTTTAAATTCTAAAAATCTTTTAAAAATGCTCTATATTCTGCAATGTTAAAGAAAAAAAATCCTGGATCCACCCCTATAAGCAGATTGGTATAATTCCTGCTAAAATTTCTCAGAGTCCTCAAATATCTGGTTTTGTAAAACCAGCAGTCCAACATCCAGTGGTAATCCATATATCACCATGTGTGACAAAGAAAAGCATCCAATTCTCATATCTGAGTAGCTGGAACCAGTTTGGCATGTTTGTTTAAAAAAATGACTGAATGATCAAAATAGCTGCTAATTAATTTGCAGAACTCTACCCATGTGACTTTGATGGTAAAGATTTATGCTACTAGACTAACTGCTGTTTATTGACTTACAGTCAAGAAATGAATGTATTTCAGTTTATTTTTGGTTGAATTTGCTGAATCAGAGAATCATCATCATCATTGGTTTGATTTCAGGCGGTTAAGTTTCACTTAAAGCTGCAGTGATCAAAACTTTTAGATTAACAATGGATCAAATGACTATGTTTATGTGTAAGGGGTTGCTTCGTGACAAATCTACCGAGAATATCACACTTTGTTTAAGCGCTACGGAGCATTTTAGCGTCTTTCAGCTCATTGTTTTGGTTCACTCTCTTTACTTTCATCTGTATCATTTAAAGAAGCATTTGGCAGCTGTTTTCAATAAAGAAGCTCTAAAGGCCCACTGTACATTACCTGTCCAGCAACAGATGACACATGTGAAACCATTTAAGCAAACAACAGGTGAACATAGAGGAGCATTTAGCAGCTAAAGAGCCAGATATTTTCCTCAGGAGTTAGTGGAGACAAACTCAGAGCTAAAAAAAGAGAGAATATTGAACATGGATATACATTTTTCCAATTTAATGCTTATGTAAATCATGCAATCATGCTGTAAATAAACAAGTTTGCTAAATCAACTTAAAAGATAATAACACTTTAATGGTGTTAATGTTAATCTAGCTTGTTTCTGTTGTCCCAGTGTGGCCAAAAATTCAGTTAATGCTTTCACAGAGGAATCTTTTGCTTTAATTGTAGGTTTAAATTGTTTAAACTGAATTAGTTGTGAGAAAAGACTGAGGAAAGGAATGCATGTCACTCCAGCTTCTATAAATCCTATTTAGGTACTGAGCTTTATAGAGCTGAACTGAATGCTCCAGTTTTACCTCTGCTGCGCTCAGGCCAGAAATAAATCTGAATATCTCATGAAAATAACAGCACAGCCATCCTTTATGTCCGGAGGTGTTTCTGTATCCTTACCTGATAATAAATCACTCTCATAATCAGGTGAGCTGGCGGTAATGACAGTTGGTAATGGCCTCTGGTGAGCGTCTATATATAGAGCTATAGCAGAGGTGAGCAGTGAAGCATAGAGGGCGAGAGACAATGTTCCCTCAGAGTTATGAGAATGAGTTATGTCCTTCCTCTCCTCTCAAGAACATAAAGGCATGCGTGGGCACTTGCCTCTTGCTGACTTTTTCCTCCACACACATGCAGTGAAACACACAAGTATACATATACATTTACTTAGGCTCATCCATGTATTATGTTAACGTGTTATACAAAATCCATTATTTTTCCGTCTAGCTCTGTTTCTCTCTGTTTCTCCCTTGTCTCTCTCACACACCCACACGTCCTATCTTATATAACACAGTGTGAATGTGTCCACCCCCATGAGGACAGGTCGTAAATATAGGGTTCCGTCTGATGTGCAGGGTAGCAGTGGAAAGGACACACCACACACTGTCAAAGATAAGCGCACAAGCACACACACAGTACGCTCATTGAATTACATGCAGACAGACGCACACGCGCACACACACACACACACACACACACACACACACACACACACACACACACATACACACACACACACACATGCACATGCACAGATCCGACTGTGTGTCCTTCGGGTCATTCATTAGTCGTACAGCTCTTGGAGTCTAGACCAGGACAAAGTGAAGAGTGAAGAAGGTGACTTTGTGTTGGCAGCATCCCAGACCTGCCCTATCTGCTGGTCAGTGCAGTGACCTGTTACCACAGGATACTTGCAGTGTTGCAGGACTATGCAGAGTTCTTGTTCCAGACTGTGATTTGCAGGAGTTTCACCTCTGTGTCTGCGCATGTGAACCTGTCTGTCGGCTGTCGGCGAGAGGAGTGGACTAGAACAACACATGAGCGTTTTTCTGATATGCTGCCCCTCTCATATCGGTTTGGTTATGTTTAAGCTTCAAATGAACTGGAGTTGTACAACGTGTCATCCAACCATTATTAAGCCAGAAGTGTCTGTCGCTGTTCTGAATGGCCACACTAGAAGGAGAGTGAAAACCTGCTGTTGGTGTGTTGTTAAGCGGGGAAAAGGGCTCACACAATCAGGCTGTCAATTCTGGAGTAAGAGCTTCAGAGAGAAGTACAAATGCTGCCTTTCACAGCTTCCCACTCCTGACCAATTGCTGCGTAAAGTGTGCGTGATTGTTGAATTATTTGAAGTTTATATCCATATGATATCCATAAGAAGATATATTTGTGGTTTTAAGAACTGATGGAAAGAAAAAACAAAAATGAAATAGATAAAGAAGAAAGACAGAAAATAAAATAAGATGACAAACAAACAGTTCCCCACCTTCAAGTCATTTCCATTTAAAAAGCTTCCTCTGTCCTGCTTTTTTTTCAGCTCATAGATGCCAAACAAACAAACAAACAAACAAACAAACAAACAAACAAACAAACAAACAAACAAACAAACAAACAGGAGGACACAGTTTCATATGCATAATTTATTTCTCACTGACACTGTCGATCAACTAATACACGTTATGAAGCCTGGTACCTCCTCTCTGAGACAGACATACAGATGCACAACAAAAGCAGTGGTACACAGAGCAGCGCTTAGGCCGGACCTGAAGAAAAAAAAAAACAAACCTGCCTTAACATCATAGCACTGAACACAGAAACGTTTTCATGCCAGGACAATATAAAAAAAAAAATAAGCTGGGATCACTGAGACACATTTCAAATAATCTCCCATCCGTCTGATGTAATAGCTGGGAGGTGGAAGCGGAGCGTGTACACCTGTCTGTCACCATGAAATCAGCGGGCTGGACTGGAGTTATATGAGCCGTAATACTGCACAGAAGGAAAGTCAGTATGTCATTGTTATATTTCTGAACATACAGCAGGGCATCCTGTAATGTAAACAGATGCATTGTTGAAATGTTACTGCCACTGATTCTTTGATTGCAAAAAAACAACACACAGACTTGATTTTGGAAGTTGAAGATGCCTCTGCTCTGACAGCTGAGTCCACTCTGCGTTTCGTCAAAGTGACATTTATTCTTGCTTCGTGTAGACGCTGCCGTTAACTTTTGGATCCCAACTGTTGCGAATGTTAAATCCAACACAGAGTCTGGTCGCTTTGTGTTGGGACTTACCGTGAGAACAAGCTGCCAACTAGGAAAATGAAGAATTCATGTCAGTGTGAAGTCAAATCATGGTAAATATATGCAGCACATTTAAGTTTTCTTACTTGACATCATGACTTCAGAAAGTAGTAAACATGTGATAAATGATGGCAAGGAAACCAGCATTGGTGGTTAAAGTTGTCAGTTATATTTACATTTAAAATGATCAGCTTCACATACGAAAGGGGCGACTTGCTTGTAGTAAACTTTTGTAATTTTGAAATAAATTGTTGAAAACAACAATGTTACATGGCTGTTTTGAACATTGCCGCATGCCCTCATGGCTGCTGCTACAGCCCTGGAGATGGTTTTACAATAATATCCAGTAAAGTATGTCTTAATTTCCTCTGCATACTTCTGAAACTACAGGAAAATATTTCTTAATCTGCTTCCCTAACATGACAAATAATGTTAGCGGTCAGCAGTGTCGCTTTCATCAAGATGGAATGTACCAATTTTGCCATTCTAGATAAAAAACAAGCTTGGAAATCCCCAATTCTTTAATGGTTATTGACAACTTTCAAACTGAGCTGAATGCAGTAAGAGGCTTTACTTTAGGTTTTCCTCTATCATCTCTGTGAACTGATTTCTGATTATTTTGCTCTCTGTGGTAGAAATGAAAGTATAAGAAAAAAAAAACATGGCTCACATTAAAGAAGAAACACACTTCTCCTCTAATCCCTCTTTCTGTCACAGTTAATGAGCTGAGGTACTTCATAAGGCTTCATTATTTCCTTCACAAACTAAAGACACAGTAAAGACATTTCCAACAAGCATCACAAATGTGTTTGACCAGTAATTTACAATCTTTTTTTTATTACCCTTCCGCTCTTCTTTCATATCCCAAAGTGGCACATTTAAGTTTCAAACCCCAATCTCCTATGTCCAGTCGGGTGTCCGAGCAGCCTGAATCCACAGGTTTCTCCTCTCAGACCGCTACCAATACTCACCCATACAGTGGGTGGTCTGTTTAAATAATTCCACTTAAATATTCAAGAATGTCTTTGTAGGCGTGAATGACTCCTGGCACAGTGATAAATTGTCCAAATATCCAAGTTGTCAAATTGTGTTTAATGTTAGCCTTGTTAGCCACACCACCGACCTGGCTTTAGGGCTGTCAGCTGGTCCGTCGTTCTGGTGCTCCAACACTTTGTCCAGACTGAAGTGGCTAAACATCTGGAATGGTTGGCATGAAATTTGGTACGGACATTCAGGGTCCACAGAGGCCGAATCCTAAGAACTTTGAGTGAGCCCCTGACTTTTCATATAGCACCACTGGCAGACCAAAATTTCTTGCGGCCCAACACTGCATGAGGATACCTCAGGAGCTAATGTCTCAGCCTTGGCTGCACTCTGGGATTAATGATGACTTAGCATGTTGATATGATAACATTAGCATGCAGTACAGCTGTGCAGAAGCTGACACACTACAGTCTGAAGTGATGAAAGTTGAATCACATCATATCTTAAAATGGCCACAAAAGATAAACCCTACTGATTTTCAACATTAGCTGTCTTCAGCTGCCGCCCTCAGGTGGTGGCCCTCTAGTGGTAAAGATTTAGCAAAGTAGTTCCTCCATTTTTGTTTTGTGGTGTGGAAACATTTCTACTGTGCGGGTACTCCACAGATTTCTCTGTATCCAGCACCTCTCCCACTGAGGTTCGATGGATGTGCACATGACCACTCCACATACTTTGTGTGAGCATTTTAACCCCTCAGGGGCTGCTACCATGGCTACAGACTGTATGTCTTGTCTACTTCATCAATGTCTTTCCCATTCTGGCTTATTGAAGTGCCACTGAGTGGAAGCTTTTACCGCAGCCACGAGTGCATCCGATTTCAGCCCGTCAGGCCAGAAGGAATCAGACGTGTCAGGAGCTTCCTCCTCCCACCAACCTGAACACCAGGTAGAAGTCACTTCCTAACACTGAGGATGGTCATCTGTAGACACTCTTCCTTCAGAGCCACCAGTTCTGTCTTGTAGCTGCTTGTCTTGCCTCCGTCAGCGTACACACAAGGCTGCTTCTTTGCCGATAGTGGCGTTTCCATGGTGACTGAGCCAGCGTTCAGTATGTCAGCATGCGATGGTGAGGAAGAGGAGCCCTTGTGGCAGGCCGCAGACAGTAACGCTGAGAGGGCTCGGCCAACATCGTTCCTCGCCCCCTCGTTGACGAAACAGTACAAAATGGGGTCGGCGACACAGTTGAGGCTGGTCAAAGCCAGCGATACATGGTACGCTGCAAACAAGCTCTCCTCTGAGCCACAGTCACATGGTTTCCTTAGAAACATGATGCTCCGCACCAGGAGGAGGACGTGGTACGGTCCGAAGCAGAGCAAAACGATCAGAATCAAACTCAAAGCCAACCGCTGAATTTTGGCCTTTTCCTGACGTTCTGTCGAGACGTTGCAGCGAACTGCTGCCAGGATCCCCCGGTAGGCGACCAGCATGGCTGTCCAGGGAGCAAGGAAGCCCAGAAATGTCCTGTAGAGGTTCATCCCTGCCACCCAGTCCTGCATGGGATACTTCTCAAAGCAGAAGGTGTGGTTGAAGCGATCCTGGAAGAGCTCATCGTGGAAGAGAGGTGCAGAGTTGGCTATGATCTCAATGATCCACACCATGGCGCTGACCAGGATGGCTGCAGGAGGGTCAGGAGAGGAGAGGAAAGAAATATTAGACTTTGTGGTAACTTCAGTTCCTCTAGCTTGAGTGAATACTGTACTGTATTGAAAGAAAACAGGGTGCTCAGCCAACAGAGAGTCCTTAACCTTTGACTGATTGATTGACACAATGTACCAACCTAAGAAACCATGAAGATGCTAAACTTGATGAAATGGAGCTTCACTGTCATCCAGATGAAGTGTTTCTAGAAAAGTTAGTCTGGGTTCGTTGCACGTATCATTAGATTTTATTAAAAGTAATGACTCTAGCAGACATCCTCGTTTAAGTAGTTATTTATAAAAACTTCTTTTGACATGGAAGTGATCTTATCTCCGCACAAAGTGAATTTCCTGTTACATCAGATTTGGCAGATGCGAAGACGTGCATCCCCTCCAGGCTTGGCAGTAGCACAGTTTGGGAAACGACTCATCAAATGCAATATCTCAATCATGTAAAAACAGGATACCATGTGATTTGACAGAACCGACTCTCGGACCATTGGAAAGTTAGTCACTTTTTCTCCCACGACTTGAGTCATCGGCCCACCTGTTTTGATTCGTCGAACCTTGGCGAAGCGCAGAGGATATGCCACAGCCAGGTACCTGTCCAGCGATATGCAGCAGAGGAAGGCGATGCTGACGTAGATATTGGTGTAGAAGATGAAGCCGAACAGCTTGCAGCTCTCCTGACCGTGGATCCAGTCATCGTGCTGCAGGAAGTAATCGATCCACAGGGGAAGAGTGGTGATGTAGAGAAGGTCAGCCACCGACAGGTTGATCAGGTAGATGCCGAGCTCGTTGCGTTGGCGTACCTGGAGGGAGCAGTGCGACAAAGGGAAGGAGAGAATGGGGAGGAAAGGTGAAGGCAGGAAGCGGGAGGGGAAGGTGGGATGGGAGATGGTGGGTGGAAGCAGATTTACAGTTAAAGGAGAAAATGGATGGAGAGTTTTAAGTCAGTGTTTCCTTCTTATGCAAACTTTTACAATGTAAAAGAAAAGAAAATGAAAATAAAATCCCGCGACTAGGGGACAGCTCCGTTTCCTAAGCGGTATTGATAATACATTGCTAATTTTTGGCAGAACCTCTCAAGTAAATAAACAGCAGACCGATCATGTTCATGTTTAGTCATGTTCATTTGCGTTGGAACAAACTGAATGTAGAAAGTTTCAAACGTGGCATTGATGCTGAGATGGAAGCGCAGCGAGCAGTAGGCTAATGTTCAAATGTCACTCGCTTGTCATGACGTTTGCGCTTGAAAAACATTTAGTGAAGTTGTTTGAATTAAAAGTCAATAACGATTCCCTCCGTCTGCCAAAGTAAACTGACAGTCTGTGGGAAACAGTGGAAGTGACTGATGCAGTATGGGAAAATATCCTGAGCGCCCTGTTGACTGTATATAGCAGCCAACGTTGGACATGTTACTTAAAAATAAAAAAAATAAAATAATAACCCACCTCTGGTTACACAGTGAAAACGTAATCATGCCACCTGCAGACTTACTTTACAGTAATAAATTTGTTACATGACTCGTAACATGGCTTTCCTTTTCCTGCACCCACCAGCAGTTAAGAGTTAACCACGTTTCATTTGTGCCAAAAAGGTGTCCATGTGTGCGCTGTCTATGTCGACTGAACACGTGACAAAACATTTTTTCTTTTCAACTTTGAAGTAAACCTCAGTTGCGACCAAACTATTTTGACAGTCAGATTGTCTGTGACAATTGTTCAAATGACAAAACTTTTTTTTTTTAAGCTATATTTGTCTGTCGATTCAACTTGAAACTGCACTTTAGTCGTCTTGTTGCAAATGCCCTTTGACTGTGTTGTTGTAAGTCACATACAACAACAGACAAAAGTGCAGTTTCAAGCTGAACTGACGGACAAGTGTTTTTTCAGTCGACATATATAGTGCACATGTGGACATATTCTTGGCACAAATGGAACCTCATAGAAATGATGTATTACTTTACCGATTTCATATATGATTGATCGTCGCTATGTAGTTTGTTTTATATGTTTTGGAAGCTAAGCAGCCGCAGATCTGTTCATGTGCCTCTCACTGTCTTGACTTCAGTATTAGGGGCGTTTAGAGAGTTGTGTATCTGAATGCATCACTGTGGCTGCATGCATTATTTGTGTGAGATACATTACTTATATTCTATTTATCTCAGTGCCTACATGGCAGGTTTTGGTTTACATTGTTGGTTGATATTTAAGAGAGAAATGATTTGTTGTGAGATTCATTCGATTCAAAGCTTTACACATCATGGAGCCAAATCCAAAAGGAAACAGGCTACCAGATCCTAATCTGACTGTTTGACACCGTTGTATTGAGAGTAATCTTGCTGGCTATGCTGGTGGCAGTGTGTATGTGTGTATGTGTGCATGTGTGTGTGTGTCCTCCTCACCTGCATGTAGGCAGCCCACAGGGCCATGCAGTTAGTAGGCAGCCCAAGAACGATGACTATGATGTAGAGCGTGGGCTGGAAGAACTGGTCCACCTTACTGTCCACATCACAGAACGAGATGTTGCACATTGTCCTGTGTGGAACACTCTGAGTGTGTGTGTGTGTGCGGGTGTGTGTGTGTGTGCGGGTGTGTGTGTGTGTGCGGGTGTGTGTGTGTGTGCGGGTGTGTGTGTGTGTGCGGGTGTGTGTGTGTGTGCGGGTGTGTGTGTGTGTGCAGGTGTGTGAAGTGTGTTCAGCTATTTTCAGCTCTGTGTGTCTCTCTGTAGTTTCACTATAGTACAGCTCCAGCAGTTTGACAGTGACATGCTGACTCTGGCATCCTGCTCAGCTACCACACCGCTGTCCAAGATGGAGTGACCCAAGAAAACAGAACTGTCATTTCCGGAGCATCTCATGGTTCCTGTTTCTTAAAAACACTGTCCTTCTTGCCCAAGGGCTTTGACATGTCATGATCCTCTCTCCCGCTGCGCAGCCAGCCCCCCGGTGTCCCTCAGTATGAAGGAAAGAGGAGAATAAAGGAAGGAGTGAGGGATAAAATGTGCTGAAATGAAAGCTGCCTTATCGACACTGTGCCAGGTCTCCTGCGCCTGGACAGGACCTCATCAATCTTTTAGAGATTAGAGGTCTGCCAGGTCTACTGTGAGAGGGAGAGGCTCAACATCAGCGTGTGTGTGTGGGTGTGTCTCAAGGTCCCGATGACACACAAGACTCCTCAGGGAAGTTTGCACTAAAACACAGGAATGACTTTACAGAGCTTCAGCACTTTGGAGCCGACAGGCCGTCCATTTACTCTGAACTCCCTGACATCTGCAAGAGAGAGAGAGAGAGAGAGAGAGAGAGAGAGGCTTTTAAATGATGATGCTTTATAATAACTGTACAAAGATAAAAATATCTGTTTGTGTCAGTAAAACAAATTAGATTTGTTACATACATTTTCATTTTCTTTTTTTAAAGTCATTTTTCTGGCATTTGTGCCTTTATTATAGCTGCAGTGAGAGAGAAACAGGAAAGCTGGGGAGAGAGAGAGCAGATGACATGCAGCAAAGAGCCTCGGGTCAGACTGTGGTGTGGACTGATATGGTCGCTGAGCCATCAGGGCGCCCCAAACTTTCAACACTTGCATCAATTATTAAAGCTAATAAAACAGTAACATAAAAAAGACAAAGAGGAAAAGATTAAAACCTTCAAGACATAAAAAAACTACAATTACTGCCTTGTGTTTGTATGCCTCTGCCAAACAGCCAAGTTACAGGAAATATGGTCACAATTTCCCCTTCCTGAGCTACAGCATTGAATAATGGCCAGAAGTGTTTTTGCAGAGTATCATGATGTCCTAATGAATGTTTGTTCCCAATTTGAAGAAGTTCCTTCAAGGCGTTACTGAGATATCACATTCACAAGGCCGAAACCGTGTTTCGTGAGATCACTGTGACTTTGACCTTTGACCTAATGAGTTCATCCTTGAGTGCAAGTGAACGTTTGTCTTAATTTTTACTTACTATTGTCTGACTGTGCCAGTTACTGTATATTCTGAACGAGCTGGTTCCAGCTCCTTATCAGAGCTGATTTATTCAAACCCTGGACCGTTCCACCAGGTGGAAATACACTACTCTACCTGTCCTGTGCATCATTTTTATACCTCATGATAACCTTTCACTGATATGTTTGACATTTTTTGAAGCTAGAATTTGAAATAAAATTTCTTTGGGTTCGAATAATGTTTGGTTGCGTAGCATGACTGTGTAACTTTAACTGAACATGATGCTCTTTGTGCACTAATTGACATTCTCCTCTGCAGCCTCTCCTCCGGTCATGAAGGAACAGAAACAAAAGATTGCAGCTTGTCCTCACTTCTTTTTCCCTGTTTGGCTTGTCAGAGCTGTCCTCACACCATAGCCATAAAAGTTTGTGTTTCCGGTTCATTTCCTGTATTTATTTGCTGTGCTCTGCCTCTAGTCCACATACACTTTTACACGTAATGCACTACGGTTTATGTCACAAGACTCAGAGCTGCACTTTCTAGGCATCTGGTTTGGTTATTTGAAGTGAATGGAATCTTTTGTGAGGTAAAAACAAACTACTCAAACTGCCTGGAGTGAACACACCCTCAATGCATACAGTCAAACCCTTTTTTCTGCTAATATATTGAATTCTGCTGCCTCCAACTTCCAGGAACATGTGTGAAAGAAAAGACAGTGATAGACGGAGTGACAGAGAGAGGGAAGAAAGAGGCAGCGAGAACAGCGAAGCAGCAGGAGTTTATCAGAACATGCTGACACGCCGTGCAGGCACAAAAAGACCTTGCAAACGGAGAGTCCAGGACATGTGATAAGCATTATGTAAGCCTTCACATAAACATGACTTGAATATAGATGTAGAGTAGACAGAGAGAGAGAGAGAGAGAGACAGAGAGAGCGGGGTGGGAGCTCAGTTTCTGTTTCACTCCTTAACTTCTCACTTTCCACTCGGAGCTCAGCTTCTGTTTATACATCTTGGACCGCCTTGATATTGTTGCATACAGCTGATATGAGCGCACATATGCTTTCAATCACTTTACTTAAATATGTTTTTAAGCACTGGGACCTGCCTTTCTCCAGAGTTTATGTGTGTTTCAGCTTCTTGTCATTCCTCCTGCATCGACAGATTTCATGAGTTATTGTGAAGGTTTTTCAGCATGAAGAGCCAACCGGAGGTGACCACCTCTGCTCATTCCAGTGACATGTTTATCAAAGGAAAGACTGAATTGGAATTAAAGGTCCCATATTTTAGAATTTTCCTGTGTTTTATTTAGAGTGTTGATTCATAAGAAGATGTATTTGTGGTTTTAAGTCAATATAGTTTTACATCTCCTCCGTCAGGGTTCTCTCTGGAGCTCTAGCAAGAACAAGTAATATCGTGCTGATCCCTGAGACTCTCTTTTGATTGGCCGGCGGTTTTCTGAGTGACACACGATCAGGCCAACCACAGGTAACAAGCCCATTACTGTAGCTTGGTAAAACTCACCGGTAAATGCAAATGAAAATGGTCAGTCCCCACTGAAATGATATTGATATTAAAAGGTTTTGCAGAGTTGATATTGAAATCATATTTCAGAAAAAATAAACTTGAGCATTTTCTCTGTATTTTTCTGTCATGTAGTTTGACAGCTTAGCGAGAGAATAACCACTCAGTATTATGTTGTTAAAAAAGTTAAATCAACACAAAAAGGTTGGACAGAGGTTCCAGGTAGGCGTGGCTTGGGGCATGTCTGAGAGCGGTGACTGCTTTGTTGTGACATCACAAAGTTATAGAAGTCTTGACAGCTGGTTTTAAGGCTCAGTTTCTGAATACAGGCTGTGTGTATTTCTCTGTGGACTGAGGCTTTGATACTTTCACAGTATTAATATAGAACCTAGACTTGCTTTATAATCAAAGAAGACATGGACATCTACCTTTATACTATATGGGACCTTTAAGAAAAATAATCCACTAAGTTTGTCCTCTGTGGTCCATGATTATCCACAGCACATGGCATGGTGTAGGGTCATGTAATGCTGGGGAGCAACGGAAGTCTCCTATATGTTGGCTCCACGACTAAAGCAAATATTGCCTATTTCTAAAGAAAGCGACATGCATGATGAGTCTGTGCTGACTTCCTGGTTAAAAGTCCAAGGAAGAGGCCTGAGAAGCGTCTGTCACCACACAACAAATAAGGATCTGTGAAGGAAACAGCTTCAGCCTGTGATAATGTGACAGTCAGTGGTGTGGAACAGTGACTTTGGACTGAGCTGAGTCAGTGCTACAATCATACACACCAACTCGTAAGCAAACACACACGTGAGGGCTTGGTGAGGTCATTTCTACGGTGACCTTGTCAAATAACTCTTTGTTGGGGGAAACACCCATGTTGATAACCTAAAGCACAGCTGGGTCATATTTCTGCTGTAATCTGTTGTCACACATATCATCGCCACAGTCCAGAGACATCTGACTGTTAGAGTTTTATTTGGTAAAAACTCTCACATTGGAGGTTTAAGTTCCTAGCATCAACCTTCCATTTCCCAAAAAGGCTTGTTTGTGTTGTTAGCATTCCACATGTTAATATTACTGTGGCTATGGTTTCTAGGGGAATTGGGGGTGGGGATGGGGGGAGGTGGTGGGGGGGATTGAAAGGTCAAGTTTGGAAGGGTAACTCCGTTGTCTTGTTTTTCCTTCAAATCCTCCAAAAGTCTTGTTTGCATTGTTAGAATTCCACATTGAAACAAGCAAATGCTGCCTGAACTGTCTCACCAACGAACACCAGCAAGGGTAAAAAGGCTTTTTGTTTTTAGCCTTTTAGGGAAACTTCACTCCTCTCAACTGTTTAAGGATCATCATTTGTGCTTTGAGGATGTTGTAATTCCATGAAGGAGAAACTTCCTCCAGCAGACCTGGTGCAAGAAGGAATTTAAGCACTGTGTCTTGATTTACGGTATTTCAGTAGCTAAGACTGCATTTAGCATAAAATAAAATAATTTCTTTCAAACTGACATTTCATTTTGCAATTGTGTGTGCATGATTAAGATAAACTATTACTGCCTGTCAATTTGAAACCAAAAATGTAAAGTAATTTCATTTAACTGTAACTGGTGGATGAAGTCTTCAAATACTAAAAATACGGCATCACTCCCAAAAGACCTGCATTTATTTTATTAACAGTACAATCAAACTATGAGAAGTTTTTATATTGAAGAGTTTACTTCCAGTTTTGAGGATCCTCAAGCTTTCATTCAAGGACAAGGGGAAAGGAAAGGAAAGATGCAGAGATAAGGAAGAAAAGGAACGCAAATGCAAAAGATAGAAGGATGTAATAAAAGAAGCAAAGAAAGAAAAAGAAAGAAAGAAAAAACATAAAATTAAAGAGTAAACTCTGTAAACCTATGATAGAAATACAATATCAGCACCTTAAAATTGTAGCACATTACTTCAGTAAATGTACATATTGACTTTCCACCTTTTAACCAGAACAACTTCATAAAGAATGAACATTTACTGCAAAGACAGTTAAGATACTTGTCTCAGTGTGAGGCTGTTTGGAAAGGAGCAACAAAATGCAATATCTCTCTGCTTGACCCTGCAGTCGCAGCGCTCCACTATCAAAGAGCTGACATCCCATCCGTCTCCACTGAGCACCACAGAGTCACCCCATGTCCTCATTAGATAAAACAGCAGGGCCACATGCCAGTGACAAAACCACTGCCAGTCAATCTTATCACCTCTTAATCTGTGCTCTCAGTGTGTGTGGAGGGCACGCTTTGATTCTGACTTTCTAAAATAATACAAACTAAGTTCATGTAAGATGAAGTCAGTTCAGACGACAGTAATTTAACACAAAGTGACACGGGCCCGTTTCCCTGTGTGTCGCAAAATCCACTCGTGTTTATCTTTATCCAACCTGTTACCAGGAATGTGGTTAGTCGCTTACAGATATTTATCATGTAGTGTTTGCATGCGATGGCCACTCACACACACCTCTATTGGTGTTATGGTTCATGTGATCTGTTCCTTTAGGAGTTTTTGTAATGCTTTTCGTTTTATTTTGAAAATTCTTGTGTTTATGTTTGTTTTGCTTCCTGTCCTTGTGTGTTTTTTTCCACCATTCTTTTGTCCACCTGTAAGTCTGTCATTTGTCACTAAAGGTTACTTCACTGCGGTGGTGTGCCTGTGTGTCTGCATTTGGGTCGTGAACTCACTGAACTGCGACAGTTGAGTGGATTTTCAGGCTAACAGGTGGACGGAGGAACAGGCAGGCAGAGGGAAGGGTGGAAAGACTGGAAGGTGAACAAACAGGAACAGGCAGCAGGAACCACTAGAAGGTAACGAGGAACAACACCAGACAAACTAAGAAAGAGTGAGGGGAACACAGATGCTGTGTCTCAATTCACTTCCACACTCACACTTGCTATTTTGCGTGCATTAGTGCGTTCACATTGACAAAGTATGGCTACATGCAGTGCACTATAAGCAGCGTTGGATGAATGGATATTTTTTGTGAACTGAACGAATCAGTTTAGAAATGATGAATGTGAACAGTGAGCAGCGTTCACTCTCGCGTGAGTGGCAATGATTTGGGGCTGGTGATGGATGGGTAGAAGGAGGTTCTATTGACAATAATAGCGGCCTATCTATTTAAAAAAAAAAAAAAAAACAGAACAAATGAACGTGAACAGGTTCATTTTCATCTGTATGAGCTGAACTTTGAACTATAAATACCTGGATGGGGCATTCAAAAAACTCAGAAAATGTGTAAAATGATGGACACCTCTCGCCCTCAACCTTGGCTTTGTAGTGGAAGTGGAGGGACCACCAACGTATTTTCAAACTTGTGAAAACGGGGACCAAGGAAGGAGGACACGTCGTTGGCACCGATGGCGGCTAATTTCACACAGCGGGCAAACACAGGACCCTAAAACATTCGAGTCAAGTGAGCAAAGCAGCCGGCAAGCCGAAGACAATTGGTGGTCACATGTAGTGATCGTAATCGCTGGCCAGCGCACAACAGCAGTGTTTGGTTTGGGACAACCCTACCCTGTCGAAGTTCCCGCACTATGGCACTGAGTATACCGTGTACAAGATGTGCTACATGACAGTGTACTGACTCAAGTATTTGATTTGAGACACAGCAAGAGACTGAAAACTGTGAGGGGAAGACAATGAGACACAAGGGCATGAAGCATAACAACCATAAACACAACAGTCATGAGATTTCAAAATAAAACAGGAAGCATTACTGTTTCTGTGACGCTCAGACAGAGTCACAGAGGAGTTTTATTCACCTGTTACACACCTGCAGAGTCTGCAGACCGTACAGACTCACACAGATGTGTCCTCTTGAACTGAAGTAACATTCTGCATCAAATAAATATATAAAAAATATTAGTTAGTTTATTGTTGTTGCTGCTGCTGTTTTAATTATTTTGTGATAAAGCCTATCAACCCTATCAATTAACAAGCAATGATGTCACTATGTTCAGTGTCAACATACGTCTCTTCATAGAGTTTTCAGTTGGGCTGGGGAGCAGTGTTTTTACAGGTAGGTCTTTGTTTTGTTTGTTATGTGCATAAACATGTGGGCAATATGATTCATATCCTGCCAGTGGTTTCATGCTGATGCAAAGTCAGTGGCTGTGATGCACCAACAGACAGCAATGTCCCAACATATGCAGTGAAGAAGAAGACTGGCAGGAAGAAGTTACGCCTATAACAGACCTCAAGTATACACAAGACAAGAAGACAAAAGCAAAATTTATAACATGAGACGACCCATGAACTTTTAACATATTCTAATCACCTAATTTGGACAGTTATGTTTTCAGCTGCTGCTGCCCAATGAGATGCTTTGGTGCTGCAGTTTCATAACTACTTTATTATCTTTCTAAAGTAATTGCATGTCTCATCACACTAAACACATGGATCATCATCACACCTGTCACAGCACAGACAAACAAATCCTCGCTGCAGGACAGTCATCGATTTGACTTTTCATGTTTCAGTCAGGTTAAACCTGGATTTATATCTCCTTCAGTACCAGTGACTATTTTTGTGCTGAATAATACTTGCTCACAGAGTACAGTGTTAGTAAGTCAACATCTTCAGAGTATCTGATGCATCAGCCCAAATTTGGTTTGTTTTAAGAAGATGTATTTGTGGTTTTAAGAACCAAAAATCATCTCAGTCTAGTTTTACATCTCGAAGTCCTGACGGCTGGTTTTAAGGCTCAGTCTCTGAATACAGGTGTACATTTCTCTGTGGACTGAGCACTTTGATACTTTCACAGTATTAATAAAGAACCTAGACCTGCTTTATAACCAAACAACACATGGACATCTACTTTTACACTATATGGGACCTTTAAAGAAAACACCATTTAGTCTCACTGCCCAACTTTTTGCAATTTGCCTCCTAGTGACATCTCTGTAAAGTGATGTATTATGGAGGAAGCACTCTGACGCTGCAGACTGGGGTCAGCATCCTGTGCTCCACATCATTAGAGAAAGATGGTGGTTTGGGTAAACACTGAAAAAGACTTATGCTTAATTCTACACTTAACCAAGAACACAATCTTGAGTGAGACGTTTAAGAAATTAGATTGATTTTCATCTCACCATGTCTATTTTCTCAGTCAATCACTGTGCTCACTAACAGATTAGTAAAGATGCATTGACTGATATTGTAAAGGTTGACAAATGAGGAAGCAGATTTTAAAAAAGATGAATTCTGAACTGCTTTGACAAATTCTGCCAGGAAGAATGGGATAAACTGCCCAAAGGCACTTCAAAAAGAACTGAATAAATGGAATTAAATAGGAGATTTCACTTTTTGATTTTTAATTTTACAAAAAGAAAGATTTAAAAACATGTTTTCTCATTGTCATTATGTGTTACTGTTGTTGTTGTACAACACAAAAATATGTGCAAAAAGTGAATAGTTTCTGAAGCTGCTGTAGAGTGAACAGTGTGTAGCACGTCCCTCAGATAACAGTGGACTTGCTGCCCTTAAAATTAACAAGAGTTTTTACAAAAATCCATGGATTCACTTTTGAGAATAAAAGTTGATTTCAAATATTGACATCATCTTTCCTCTGTGTCTTTCCATCAGTCACACTGCTCTGTCTTGTGTGTATTAAAAAGCTTGTTTGCGTTCTGTGGTTTGTACATAAAGTTGAGATCTGCAGGGACAGGCTGCAGCTGAAGGTTTGAGGCCACAGTTCACAGCTGGAAAGAGGTTCAAGAGGTTTATTGGTAATTAGGAATTAGAAATGTGTGTGTGTGTGTTTGTGTGTGTGTGTGTGTGTGTGTGTGTGTGTGTGTGTGTGTGTGTGTGTGTACAATGGAGGCCTATATCAACCTGTTCTGTGCCGTCCGGTGCAACACAGCAACGTTTGATCTTCTGCCAGAGAAGATTAGGTCAAGGCGGGCATGCACGCTGGCTGACACACACACACACACACACACACACACACACACACACACACACACACACACACACACACACGCACACACACGCACACACGCTGACACAATACGTTTCTCCCTTTCCTTCACTTACGATGTACTTTTCTTCCTTTCACTTTCCTCCTTCACTGCACCCATTGTTCACACGTTTGGCTCTCATGGTCTTTGTCCAGGTAACCAAACTCTGATTATCACAACTCGGCCGGTTCCACACCTAAACTCCTAGAACAACACAGAACAACAAAGAACTTGGCGTGAGATATGGCACGCAAGGCAAACAGTCAAAGATGCTCTAGTGATTTTCTTTCATACATCAGAGCAGCATTACAAGGTTAAGGTCGGGCTGTTTGCGTCATCAACAGGTAAAGTCAAAGTCAGTGACTTTGTGCTTTGATAAGGTTGAGGTGAAGTCATGTGACTCCGCACAAGTCTTATCACGCGCGACCGAGTGTAAGTTATATGTAAATACATTTTTAGTGCCAATCAGATCACTTAGTAACTCTCACTTACATGTCGAAGTAGGAACATCATCAAATCTTAAAACAAGCAAAAGGGTGTAGTTTATTTTATTTGTTTGTTTTGCAGTTATTTTCAATTATGTGGAGTGGAAGGTTCAGCATCCAGAAAAATACACAATCCAGTATATTCAGGTTTTGTACTCTGCACTCTGACTGCCTTTGTGTTTTTTGGTAGAATGTCCCTTTAATTGTTTGTCTTTGTAAATTATTCTGTGTCAGCACAGAAACACTTGAGAATGTGGAGCCAGGAGGGAAGACGACACAAACAAGTTCCTGAGCTGTATCTTAGAAAACGGAAACACCAGGGTCATTTACCCTGTTAGGAAGATATACAGTAGGCTCAGTGTTTGTGTGCGTGCGTGCGTGCGTGCGTGCGTGCGTGCGTGCGTGCGTGTGTGTGTGTGTGAAGGTCCAAACTGAATTTCAGACCTTGAAAGTGAAGGAATGTTTAGATCAGCAGGTCCACGTCTTGATACGACTGATTGTGGGTTAAAAGTTAATTCCGGCTCATTTCAACTATAGACTCCTATTGTTTTGGTAATTTCCATCAGTTGTGATAATATTATACTAACCTAAGTAATCAGAGAGATCCAGAAACACATTTACATGTATCCATGTAAACGTCCAATCGGGCAAGAAAAGAGCAACCAGACAAACAAACAGTTTTTCCAGATTATCAAACCACTTGATTTGGAAGTAAAACCAAAGTGAATGTACCTGAAATAATAACTAATTATAACTAATCATATCTCTGTGCACAGGAAATCTGAAGTAGGGAGTCATGTGTTCACTGGGACGGACGTTTAGAACAAATAGAGTCAGATAGCATTGCTTCCCATGTCTGACTTATTCTTAATGATGTCACCGCATGTCCAGATGTCAGTGTTTAACTGGCAGAGCACGAAGTTACTGTTCCTGAAATACAAGATCAACAGAACACGATCCACTTTTTAAATAAACCGAAGTTATTCTTCAAGATTTAACAAACCTGTGCGTGCGTGTGTGTGTGTGTGTGTGTGTGTGTGTGTGTTTTGGCAGCGACCATGTGGCTGTTTGCCAAACATTCCTGTTGACAGTCAAACAGTGGAAGCAGGAAGACAGTAATGCTACACTATCAAACATGTCGACACGCCTCTTACACTTCACAAAACAACTCAGTTACTTCCACGACACACACACACACACACACACACACACACACACACACACACACACACACAAACACGATCCAGTAACCTCACAGCCCCTAATCAAATCTCATAATTGGAGAAAATGATAAAAACCAAAACAATGATAATCTGCAGCAGGTACAGGGAGTATTAAAGCCAGTTTCCTACCTGTGAGGCCTGTTTTTGGACACACACTGAAGCACACACCGAAGCACACAAGTTTAAAGAAATGTTACCATCGTTAAAATGCAGGACACCTTTTTTCCCATTACAAGGGCTTTTCTCATTTACAACCTTGATCAGGAGGTCTTTGATGTTTGAAAGCTGGTGGCCGAATGACTGGTGTTATTTCATTTATTTTATTTTTGTGACGAGCCTCATTAGGAGTGTCAGTGAGATCTGAGGATGGACCCCCTGGGTGTCATCACGCCTACACTTCATTTTCTCTGGCAAAAACCACAGTGGAAACACTTCTCTGGAAACACTCTACTGCATTTTTTAAATCAAATTTGTTTAGATCTTCACAATGTGATTATGAATAAACCTGACACTAATGGAGTCGCATGGCGTCACAACCAACTTGTTTCATGGACCTTCAGGTGACAGACTGTGAGTTTTAACTTCCTCTGCCTAGTTATTCTGATGTGAACAGACGGATAAGCCTCTTATTGGCCAACTCTTTTCTTTCTTCTATTTTCTCTTGCTTTTCGAAGTCTCCCTTGCTCTCTATGAGAACCAATAAGGGCCAGGACTTGAGTTATAGCCAAGTGGTCACTAGACATGAGGACAGCTGATGTCAGCAGGGTCATTAGGCAGCCTGGTCGTCCCTCTCTGGGTCGGCCCACCCATGCTCCAGCATTCCCGACCTCAGATTTAAAAAAAAATTCATTTTTGACATTTTTTGACACTTTTCATCAGCCGGTAAGGTTCAATAAATTCATCTTGTCATCTTGTTTACCTTTTGGGTGCACTGAGGGATCGGACTTGAATGTCACTGTAACCAGCTCTCTCTCAAAGGGAGCCTCCTGATGACGTGTCTGTGCACTGCACCGTGGGACGGCTCAGGGGATTTTAAGCAAACCAAGATGACGTCAAACTATCTCAATGAATCTCTGCCATTAGCTACTGTGTGTCAAAATTGTTTGGCAACAATACTTCTTCTGCAACGTCACCCAAGAGTTTAGCAGATTTTTTTTTTAGCAGTTTTCCAGATAACCCCAAATGCTTTTTCACTTTGTCTTGAATGATGGCAGGTCCCATCAGTCCTTTCTCCTGCGCTGACACTCCACACTGAAGATGCACTCACTGGCCACAAATGATGGGATAGCGCTTTTCAGAGCTCTGTATTAGTCCAAACTTGAGATTAAAGCACTTTAATTTGGTCAGCAACAAATGGAACCATTTTTAACTGTTCTGGGGAATTAATTAATTCGTCAAACATGAATCCATGGTATTTTATTTTAGTTCACCAGTTCATTAGATTTGAAGGAAATCTACTTCCTGGATTAAAGGAATTAAGAGATCACTGACCCCAGGCCTGATATGAACTAGTCAAACATTCAGTATAGTGTACACCAGGGACGCAGACACTGCTACATTCCCACCAATGTTGAGAAGCAGTTTTCTGTCTGTTGTCATGACAACCAAGGTCCCTGCTACCAGCCATACACCGAGTTATACGAATGCTGGTCATTTTTTTTGGAAAACTACTGCATGTCTCCACCCTTCAGGATGTCCTGTTTCAATTAAAGTTAGAGATGAAATTTTCCATTCTCCACATTTTCAAATCAAGTATTTCCATTTATTTTCCATATATTTGCCATTTTACATTTCCAATTTTTTCAATATTTCAAGTTGACACTTCAGCAGATTCATTTGATACATTGATATATTAGGATTCAAGGTTGTATTGTCACCTGGATACACACACACACACACACATATATATGTATATATATATATATATGTATACATGTAGATATTTCATACCCCCCATGTTTCAGTAGTGGTCTGGATGAATCTGCAGACACAACATAAGCAAACCAAGGGCTTGGAAATGCAAATCTGAGTGAGTGGGAGAAATTTGCATTGCTATTTGTTTTGAACATGGAAATAGTGCAAATATGCTTCCCACAGTTCAATTAATATTCTCTTTTGGATCCTGTCTATTCAAATAGTTCATCGCTGTGTTGTATATACCCAGCTGGGTCTGGCAGTTTCCTTCTGAGAAGCTGGTCAGACTGGTTGCCTATAATTGCAGTCCTCCACAGAGGGCAGGAGAGACATATTCAGTTATTGAAAATGTTATTTCAGTGGTTGCTGTTCAGGGTGATTTCAACAACTCCTCTAGAGATTAAAACTGGCAACCCTATAGTCAAAAAGGAGGCTTCCCCTGAGATCAGGCTGACATTTGGGCATTTTTAAAAAAGATAAAAGAAAAAGATCAACTGGAGGGGGGAATTTGAAGGTCTATGGGGAACAGAAGGAAATTAGGAAACTTTTTTATAGAGAAACAAAGACCCCAGGGTGAGATCTCCTCCCAAAGCGTCATACTTCCATCCTACCCAGAAACCTTTAGCCTTACAGTAATTTCACTGTAACACAATGATGGCAGTGGTGACTAAAAATCTGACTACAAAAAGGTGTTTCCTGTGTCCAGGTCTCTCATGTTTTCACACGACACAGACCTTTTTGAAGTGAACTCTGCTGCAGTCAAACAGTAATTTCAGGCTTGGAGCAGTTTGTTATGTTCATCTGGCTGTGTGTCACTGATTATTGCTTTTTATGCAATAACCCTGAGCGCATATTTCACATCCTGGTCACCACTTGCGTCCAGATCTGACACATCTTCCATAAAACTGGCACATTTAGTGGTGTACGCTGACAGTGAGAATAAATTCAGTCCTGTCTATTTTCACCCTCGTCTATCACGTGCTCGGTCGATGATATTGTAACTGCAGAATCAGTACAAACGGCACTGTGGTGGTGCTAAATTAGCTTCTGAGGAGATGATGTGTTGCTGTGTTCTTCGTGCTCCACAGATAAGTTGGCAGCGGACAACAGGGACTCTAAGGGAGAGAAGGGGTGGAAGTGGATGTTAGCGTCAGCAGCCATCCACTGGCAGAGGGATGCAGCCGCCTCCACAGTTCTCACTGTGCGCACAAATGTTTTTGGGGGGTAGATTCCCTGCAGTGTTTATTCTCTGTTTATCAAGGATTCAGCCGAATGAGAACACATGTACTGTATACATAGTTAGGATGAAAAATACTGAATCCCTTCTATTTAAAACACATTCAGTGGGCCAACATGTCATCGGACCAGAATAATTCAGCCTTTGAACAGGATCTGTTTATGCTCACACGGCTGGGAGAAGTCACAGTTTTTGTTTTGCGTGTCTATACTTTTCAATTCCTAATTACATACAAAGACAAAGCAGCTTTCATTTTAATAATGTTTCTATTTTTGCTTTCACATGTAACTGCTGCCCACTGTATGTCTTTATAATTAAAAAAAAAATTCACAAAAAAATTAAAAA